AAATCCCTAAGACTCTTCCAAGTTTTGGGACCCACTTTAAGAATTCAAAAAAAAAAAAAAAAAAAAAAGCTATTTAATTCTCTTTCAGTTATGTCTGTATTTGCATTAAAATTTTGTAGCTTCTATCTTGACTATTTCTAGAGAGAATGGTCAGTCTAGTGCACCCTGCCCACTGAGAGAGATTTTGCAATGCCCACGGCTTCTTAAATACACACACGTTCTTTTTTTTTAAATTCCAGTTGAGTTCTCACTAGCCTTACAGCCAATGTTCCAGTTGCCATCCACTGAATCAAGTCCTTCTAAAACAAGCTTTCTGCCTCTTTTTGTCACTAAGACTCAAACCAGAACTTGACTGGATAAGCCCATGACTCTTTATCAAACTGAACCCCACGAAGTCTGTGATGAGACCTGTGTGTTGTCAAGAAACTGCCTTGGTCATAAAAATATAAAGAGATTATACAGTTTCTTTCTCAGAACCATATAAAACCATTCCAGTAACCTAAATGTTTAATTCATAAGATGATAGGAGGCTTAGAATCCAAACTGGGGTACTGGCCCATGGAATTATCCATCTCTTTGTTGAAGGTAGAGGAAGCAAAAATTAACAACATTTAAAAAATGTTTATAAAGAACAAATACAAAGGTTCTATCCAACAAGAAAGAACATCCAGTTTTGTTTCTCTTCAAGGCCACATACGTCCTTTAGAGTCCAAAGTATACCAGGAGTGTGAGGGATAGGGCTTCGATTAGAAGGCCACCGATGATTAAGCTTCTAGTAGTAGCTGCCTAAGTGTGAGGGCACGTGGGTATTAGGATGGCGGGGGACATTGGGGTTAGGGTAGATCCCACCAGTGGGGGAGGTCCAGTATTGTGAAGTTGCTCCAAAGAAACTGGAGGAAGTGACTGGCATGGAGGAGGGATGGGGGGGAACAAAGTTCACCTTTTGTTGGTGGGCATGGTAGGAAGACATGTAGGAGATATCAGAAGGGTACTTGTAGATGGTTGACTCGCTCGGATGTGGCTGCAAGGCTTGGGAGATGCCGTGGAAGTCAAATTTGTAGGCATACCTTTTGCCGTGTACTTTGGTCATAATGTTTTTGTCATAGTAATATCGGAGAGCCCGGCTCAGCTTGTCATAATTCATGTTGGGCTTGCTCTTCCGCTCCCCCCAGCGTCTGGCCACCTCATCAGGGTCCGTCATCTTGAACTCCCCGTTGGTGCCTTCCCAGGTGATACAGCTGGCATTGGCACTGTCAGAGAGCAACTCGAGGAGGAATTGCCACAGCTGGATCTGCCCACTTCCTACAAGTAGGGAGGCAAACAGAAGAAGACAGGAGATCTCAGCTGGGAGAAGTTAGACCCAGTACCCTAAATCCTCACTGGGACCCTCACACACTTTTTCAGAGTGTTTCCTATTAGACTCAATATATTTGACAACCCCTTTTATCACTGTTGGCTTGATTTTCTCCTTGCTACTGAGAGTGATATAACATGGTCAGTTTTAAGGGACTGTGTCCCCCCAGACCAGTTGCTGTTGAATTGATTCCCACTCATGGCAACCCCGTGTGTGTCAGAGTAGAACTGTATTCCATAGGATTTTCAATGGCTGACTTTTCAGAAGTAGATTTTCAGGCCTGTCCTCTCAGATGCCTCTGGGTAGACTCCAGCCTCCAATCTTTCAGTTGGCAGTCAAGCACCTTAACCATTTCTACCACTCAGGGATTTCTAATTTGTCCTAAGACCTGGCATCTGTCTCCTCTGATCAGGTATAGTCAGGGACTGATTAATGGGCTGAGACATTCTGACAGTACTAAGTTAACTGAGAAAGGAAGACGCTTATTATTGAAAACGACCTATTAGCTCACACTCAATGGTCTTTTTTAAGAAGAACCTACTTGAGAGTTATTTACCTTTAAGGTACATTGTCAAATTTACATTATCTGTAGCACTTTCTAAAGTCAAGAATAAGGAAGGCACCTTTGGAGGATTCATCCCTTTGTTCCTTGCATTAGGGAGGTAGTTGAAACGTTTCTTTGATCCCCCACCTTACCCTACTGAAACTTCTACCACTGGCTTTTGTCGTTAATCTAAAATGTAGTGGCACATATGCAATACTAATGTAGTTGTTCTCCAGAAACATCCTCAGCTAAAGACATCGCCACCTGATAACAAGCCCTGCGTCCTCATTTGTACATGATAGAAGCATATGCTGAGAGCACATTTCAAGATAAGAAGTACATACCCTAGTCATGTGTCTGGGCTTAGGATAGAGGTCTTTATGACCTCTAAAGCAATGGAACATTCTGGAAAGAAAGCCTTTACAGGCCGTGGTGAACTCACCAGGATTGGCTAGGCGACTGCTGGTTGGGCCCAGGATCTGATACGGATCTAAGGAAACCAAAAGGGAAATTTGTTTCATTGTTTTCAAACATATAATAATAACCCCCCAAGGATGTATACTTTTATTTCAATAAAACAGAAAACTGTACTGCTTTCACATGCCCATCTTTAAGGTCTTGATCACAGATATGGTTTTCATCTCAATAATTATAGAAACTACATGGAATAGTAATGGCATCTCTTTTTCACATTGTTGTTGTTGTAAAGTGCTGTCGAGTGAGTTCCAAATCATAGCAACCCTGTATAAGGTTTCCAAGGAGTGGCTAGTAGGTTTAAACTGCTTTGTGACTACCAGTCCTATGCTTAGTACTTATCCTATAGTGCCACACCAAAAGCAACGACTGGAGGTTTTGAACTGCCAACCTTGTAGTTAGCAGTACAGTGCTTATCCTAGGGTGCTGTGGTGGTGTGCCATCAAGGCAGTTCTGACTCATAGTATAGGGTTTCCAAGGCTGTAAATCTTTACGGGAGCAGAAAGCCTCATCTTTCTGATGACTTTCTGTTAACTGCCAGGCAGCTGGTCTGGCAGTTAACAGTCCAGCATGTATCCCATTATGCCATATTAATGCTGTCATTACCCAAAACAAAGTTATGAAAATATTTGGAAAGGAGCTGGCTATTATTCTACCACACAAAAAATAAATAAAAGGATAGTTTATTCAATGGGCTTAAAGAAAGTCTAATAAAAATAGTTTCTCTGATATAGCATAAAGAAAACATGATTGGAAAAAAGCAAGCTAGGTTCTATCTTCAGCTAGGTCATCAACTAAATAATTTGTTGGACAATCTCTTGATATCACTTTTCTCATCTGCAAAATGAATGAGTTGGGCTACCGGATTCCTAAGGTCCCTTTTTGTACAACACCTTGTGAGAGTTTAAACTTGGAAATGCTCACACTAGCCAGCATTTGTATTTTAGCTATACAATGACTATTCTTAAAATTTCAGTGTACTTAAAACGTATGCGATTATTTAGCTCTAAAAAAATCTTTGCAATACTGGTTAAGGACAGGATTGTCTACTTTTTTTAGCTAAGGGAATCAGACTAAAGAGCCAGTTGTCAAATATTTTAAAGAATTTTCCTATAAGAATTTGTTCTAATCAATATAATTTTTGGTTAGAACTCTCAATTAACTTGGGGAGTTCTCCTGGTCACTTAGCCTACTCTATTTCATCCAAACAGTATGACAACTAAAATAATTTTGACAGGCTATGTCTAATCTTATTGGTTGAGAGTGTTTAAAACTGTAAGTCTGACTTGTCATTCTTCACCGTCAGCAATGTCTTTCTTCATCATTCTGAGAAAACATAGGTTAATTTTCTCTTGTTCTACCTTCCCCTCAAAAATGACTGGTTCAATTGGCTATCCAAAAATGGGGGGAGGGATACAAAGGTAAGAAGCGACTGGCTTACAAGCTTTCAAGAGGGAACCTAGATCCACAGGGCGGGGAGGATGATAGAGTCTCCAGTGAGTGGTATCCAACCTGTCTGGGAAGGGCTGATGAAAAGAAATGCAGATGGGTCTCTTGGGATGCAATGGTGAATAATTGTTACCAGGACTGATTGTGAGTACTAGAAATGTAGAGGTGGATGTTTTGTGGCAAGGAGGGGTGTGATTGACCTTTCAGTCTAGGAGCAGAGGGCCCTGGGACCATCAATGGAGAAGAGCGGAGAGCGGGACCCCTCCCAGAGAAGCAGCAAGGCCTGAGACTGAGACAGAGAGGATGACGTGAAGAAATGGAGTGACTGGGGACTTGAGATCCAGAGAGGGAAAGGGGCTGTGTGCTGAGGACCGTGGGGGGGCATGGAGGGGGCGGGCAGGCTTGCAGGGTATACTCTTTGGTTGAATGATGATGCATGGACGGGATGGTAACTATGGCAATGAAGCGATGTATGATGGAATGAATGTGATGCTAATGTTCTTCCATGTAAACTGTCACACAATACACAATAAAACATTTATTTAAAAAAAAAAAAAAAAAGACTGGTTCAAAATTTCCCTCTCAGTTGCTTCACAGAGTAGAGCTGGGTCTTGGAGGCGGGCATATAATTGTCTTCAGATGTATGAAGGACCTTTTATGTAAAGGTAGGAAGACCCCTCCAGAGGGAAAAACTAGTAAGTTTTAGTGAAGTCACAGGGAAGTGGACTTGGATTCAGGTAGCAAAATGTCAGTGCTGTAAATATTCAGGTTGTTGTTGTTAAGTGCCATCCAGTTGGGTCTGATTCGTAGTGACTCTGTATAGGTTTCTGAGGAGTGGCTGATGAGTTTGAACCACTGACCTTGAGGTTTAAACCAACCTTGTGGTCCAGTGCTTAACCTACAGCACCACACCAGGACTCCAAATGTTCAAGTGGAGGGGAGAAAACAATAGGACTGAGACGTAATACAGGATGTTATAAAACTCTGTGTTCCAATGTTCTATTGCAAGTCTGTAGCTTTAAACATCCCTTTGCCTTAATTGTTAGAGCTATCACAAGACAGAAATAAGAAACTTAGGAGTCTGGGGTCATAGCTTCAAAAACCAGCTTTGTGACTTTTAAGCAAATCTCTTTACCTGACTGAGCTCGGTTTAATTGTTTTATAAAGTGAGGCATTGGAATATTTCATGTCTAAGTTCCATTCATATCTGATATTTAACAAATCTCTACTGGATTCTAGTACCTCTTACTGCCAGAAGTAATAATATACACATATAATATAAAAGAAAGCTGACAACAAATGTTTATTGTTTACATCCTGTATCTGTTGACCATTGGCACCAAGAGTAGCACAAGAAGCAATGGAGAGATTGCACATGTCAGGACAGTTACCTGGTTGGGGCCTTTGCTCAGTATTCTTACTCATTGTTTGTGCTCCTCCAAGGGGCGGACCTGTAAAAAAAAAAAGGAAAGTAAATATGATGAGTTGGGCCACTTTCCATAAGATGAAAGAAAAAGTTATCAAATGCTTGCCAAGAGGGCACACTTGCCTTCTCATTCATTCATTTATTAATCTTATTAATAAATATTTTTCTAAAATATACTATGTGCTAGCACGTTTCTAGATTCAGCAATGAACGAATTATTCCTGGTGGAATTTGCCTTTTAGTGGGGAAGATAACAATAAACAAAGTAAGATATATAGTATAGCATGTTTGATGGCATTGGGGCTATGGTCTCATTTTGAAATAGGAAATTGAGACTTTCTTTGGTAGTGTAATGGACTACCAGCTTGGCTGCTAACTGTAAGGTCAGCAGTTAGAATTTATCAACTGGTCCAAGGGAAAGAGAGGAGACTTTCTGCTCTAGTAAAGATATACAGCCTTGGAAACCCTATACAGGGTCGCTACCACCAATAAAGAGGTAAAGATTCAGACAGTATCACCTACTTCTTGTAGTTCCATGTTTTGTGAGTTCTCCTCTATGGTATCTTTCACATTATCTATTCTTATTGCCTCTTCTCTACTTTATCATTTATTAATGACTGATTTTATCTTTCAGTTGTTGTTGTTGGGGGGAATATGCACAGTACAAAACTGCACCAATTCAAATTTTTATGTGTACGTTTCAGTGATGATGATTATATTCGTTGAGTTGGACAACCATCTTCACTCTCCCTTTCTGAGTTTTTCCTCCCCCATTAACATAAACTCACTGTCCCCTAAGATTCCTATGTCATCTTTTGAGTTTTGTCAATTTGATCCCATATAAGTAGATCCAAAAACAGCACAATGCTCAAAACAGACATTCTTTACTAGTTAAAGCAAACTTTAGTTTGGTTTGAAGAAAATTTCAGGGGATTTTTATATTTAACATTTAAAGGTTATCTTTGGGTAATAGTTTTGGGGTTCATATAGTCTCCATGATTCCAGGAAATCTTGATTCTAAGAGAATTAGAAACTTGCTCTATTATTTCCCTCTCTTTGATCAAGATTCTTCTATAGAATCTTTTATCAAAATGTTAAGAAATGGTAGCCAGGCACCATCCAGTACTGCTGGTCTCACTATAAAGGAGGCAACTGTTCATGGAGGCAGTTAGACCTGCGTCCTAGTCTTGACTCTTCTTCCTCTGTTGCTCCAGGTGAACAGATGCCAACTGTGTGTCTTGGTTAGCTGCTTGTAAGCTTTTAAGACCCCATGTACTATGCAGTGACTTAGAGGTAGACCTGATGCATTAAACAAGTTATTAGGTTGATTAACGGGGATGTCCCATGAGCTCCTGTTTAGGGTGATTGAAAAACTGAATAAAAATTGCATTGATTAAGGGTAGGTTGGATAGCCAATTAATATAATTCATGTCAATACGTTACACCTGTAAAAAATTGACTTGGCAAAAGTTGTGTGGTAGATATAGTTGCAACAATGACTCTCTCCCTCCCACCCTCCATAAAAGGAACTATTTAGACTGTCTGTGTCCTGGTATGGCACTGTAGGATAAATACTGGACTGCTAACCACAAGGTCAGTGGTTCAAACCCACCAGCTGCTCCTTGGAAACCCTATACAGAACCAACTCTAGGACACTTAACAACAAAAATTTACAACCAAACATCTCATGAAAATTGGTTTCTTGGTTTGAAAGTTTAGGCTCTTCATGATTTTAGATCTGAATGCCTTCTTGTATGATCCATGGCTTCATCGAACTGATACATTCACCACTCCTCTCTCTTCCCACCAACCTACCTTATACTATTTGACCAGTTTAGTCTCCTAGAATCATTTCACTCCTCTGTTGAGAACCTTCAACAAAACTTTATAGCCTACAGAATTTAGGTCTAACGTCATGGTATTCTTCATGATAAATTTCGTACTGACCTTTCCAGACTTCTTTTCTTTCACACATCTGAACTTGTAGTCCTAAGGTACTACAGACATGAGCAAGACTTTTAGGTCTTTCCCCTGGTCCCACCTCTGCTGGGAGTGTCTCTGTCCTTTCCAGCTAAACAGGCCCAAATCCTGCCTCCGGAGCTAACTCTCCAGAGCTAACTCAAATGGTTCCAGGTCCACAACATCATCCTGATACCACCCAGAGGGAAACAGTTGTCTGTGTGAATGACTCCCCTCCCCCACTTAAAGGACCAATCCACTTCTCTTTCCTCTCCATGAACCTATAGTGTTAAGTGTGGTATGTGGAGTAGTCAGATAATTAATACACACCATTGAGAGGGATCTTGGATATTGCTTGGGCATTCATTTGTAACCTCAGCCTTTTTCTTAAAAAGGTTTCCTTTACCACCCATTCTTGAGCCTGTTCTCTACCTCTGTCTTCAGAAATAGTTTTCCTCACAAAGAATGGTATGACATATACTTACTTTTGTTGAGGCCAGAATTCATGTTATTGCCCCATCCTCCTCTCCTGACAGAGTCATAAGAAGGATCTAATAAAAACAACAGAGATACATTGCATGAAAATTTCCTTTTCATGATCAAAAGAAATTTAACTTACTTAATCATTTTTAAGCACTACTAAATTCAAGAAGTGTACTCTTTCCTTGGAGATGAGGGTGGAGGTGGTGGAAGGAATTAACACTGTGATGTTGAGATTATTTCAGTCTTATTTGGGTACCAAAGTAATGGGAAGAACCCAGAATTTCAAGTCAGAGGATTGGTTCAAATACTGGGATGTAAGACTTCTCTGAGTCTCAATTTTCTTTAATATGGAAATAAAAATTTAAACAGTTTATCTGGCTATGGGTTGTGGTAATGATCAAATAAGAACACATGTGGAACACTGGTTTATAAAGCTTTCTGTAAGTATAAACTAATACAAGACTAGTTGTTACACTGTTGTTTTTAAAGATGTTGTTGTTTAAATGCCATCCAGTCAGTTCTGACTCATACCGACCCTGTGTAGGATTACTGAGGTGAAGCTGGTGGGTTTAAACTGCTCACCTTGTGGTTAGCAGTCCAGTGCTTATCCCACAGTGCCACATCAGGAATGTCTGTAGTTGTGTAGAAAAGCACTTTAAGCAGTTCTGAGGAGACTGGGAATGTCTGGACAAGGGAAGATTGTCTCAAAGGCCAGGAATTGGAAGGTTCCTGGAAGGCAGCCTTGAGTCTTGCATTTCAGCACACTGCTGGTGTGAGGCAGTACCTCTGAGGGTTGAGCACATTCCAGCTCTCTTAGGTCTCTCATGCATTGCTGTTGAACATGAGACCGCAGAAAAGGAAAAGGGCTAGAGTCTGGTGGAAAACATGGCTGACTCAAGGCCACATGAATGGATGGAGAACTGCTTCCTGCCTGGAAGTGACTGGAAATGTGCCTCCAGATGATATTGCTGAATTCTCCATTGAATCTGAGAACTGTGACCCCAACTTCGTTCTTGGAAGAATTCACTTGCCTATATACTGTGCTCAGAAATGATTTAAGTAGCTGGCTGGCAATGTCTCTGTTTTCCTGTCTCCTGGGGTGAGTTCCACTGAGACACTGAGCAAGGATAACAGAAGAGATGAAGAACATGGAATTATGACTTTCAAAGTCTTTCCATGTACAACAAAGAAACCATAAAACCCAAACAAATGGAGGACAAACCTCATCAAACAATAGTTTGCCAGGGTGAAACACAAACCATTTCCTTCCACCCTATCCTGAACCTCTCAGACAAATTCAAATGAGAGGAAGATGTATGGGCTCATCTGAGTGCCTGTCCTCATAGTTTCTGGCTAAGAACAACCAAGAGGCAAGGACAATTTTCTTGTGGAAAAATCCACGTGCAGATGCACATTCCTCACGATTCTGGAAAATCCAGTTCAGTTTTTAAATTACAGTCTTTAGCAATTGGCATGAAAATCAAAACAGAAAGTGGGGGTATGGGCTTGAGAGGAAGGGCAGAGAAAAGGAAAATGAGAAAGGGAACAAGCTCAACTCATGTAATTCGCCTGTTTTTATTTTTAAACAGCTCTGCCTGCAAATAGATTCTTATTCTTACTAAAAACAAAACAAAAAACACAAGACAAACCAAGTTGCTTGTGAGTTTGGGATGAGGGCTTTGATGGGCATTATCTGGGATGTGGTGCATGTGTTTGCAGAGTGTGTTCAGTGCCGGCATAAATCAAAGAAAAGGCCAGACTCTTCAGTGGGTATTCTGAGTGTGGTGAAGTCTCTAATAATTCATTTGGAATGGACTTCTTCAGTGTATGGTGTGCTTGGCTTTATACTGGGTATGAGGTAATATGAAACAACTTCACTGCCCTTGTATTAAAATATGAGGCAATAACTACGATTGTGAGGAAATGTGGGTCTGCTGCTAAAAGAGTGATAGATATCCGAAGGGCTGTTGGAGGTTAAGGAGTGTAACTGGAGTCGAGGAGGCTCTCATGGGGGCCAAGTGACTTGAGTTAGACTTCTTTGTAGAAGAGAGAGTAAGCAATGTAGGCAAGGGCAAGTGTAAGTGGGCTGGAGAGAATGTGGCGGTAATAGCTAAAGACGAACTTGGATGGGGCTGCATGGTTGAAGTAGAGGGGCTGTCATGGATGGAATCATGGCTTTACCATGCTTCTCTAGTTTGGCAGTTATGTAATGATGTTAGTACTGTGACCGTCCTGATGGCAGGTAAATAAACTTTGCTTTTGGCAGTGGGAAACCCCTGGTTCGAAGGATGCAGGGATGCAATGAAAACAAGGTGTAGGGAAGAACAACTTCAAGGTGGTGTGTAGGATGAATAGGAGAACCTGGGGGAGGGAGGCAATTTTAGTAGAGCAGAATGGAAAGTGAAAACAGAAAGTGACACATTCAAGCAAAAAACATATAAGCAGAATCACTTAGTTCCAGGAATTGGGGTGTGTGGCCTGAAGTTGTGACTTCTGATTTACTGCTCTGACATAATCTTTCTTGAATTTTTATATTCCGTTTTCTACTCAATCATTATTCCAATGAAGGCCTCAAAACTGTCTGAAAGCTTTGTTATGACCATTCAGAAGAGCGGTTTTTTAGACTAAATTATGACCATAACTACAGTTACCATTAGTCAAGAAATCAAACGACATATTGCATTAGGTAAATCTGCTGCACAAGACCTTTTTAAAGTGTTGAAGAACAAAGATGTCAGTTTGAGGACTAAGGTGCGCCTGACCCAAGCCATGGTATTTTCAATCACCTCACATGCATGCGAAAGCTGGACAATGAATAAGGAAGACCGTGGAAGAATTGATGCTTTTGAATTATGGTGGAGGAGAATATTGAAAGTGCCCTGGGCTGCCAAAAGAACCAATAGATCCATTTTGGAAGAAGTGCTGCCAGAGTGCTCCTTGGAGGCCAAGATGGACAAACTTCGTCTCTCATACTTCAGACATATTGTCAGGAGGGACCAGTGGCTGGAGAAGGATATCATGTTTGGTAAGGTTGGAGGGTCAGAGAAAAAGAGGAAGACCCCCAATTAGATGAATTGGCCAGGTGGCAGCACTGATGGACTCAAGCATGGCCATAGTACTGAGGTTGGCCCAGGATCGGGCAATGTTTCGTTCTGCTGTGCATAAGGTTGCTATGAATTGGTACCAACTCGATGACACCTAACAACAACATAGTTGCCATTGATGTCTTATCCATTTTTCTTCCTATCCTTTTATTCTGGAGTCCTGTTGTGACAACTGTGGATTAATGCACTGGACTGCAAGGTCACTTTGAACTGCAAGATTGGTGATACAAGCTCACTAGCTTCTCCTAGGAAACCCTGTACAGGGTCACTATGAGTTGGAACCAACTCGATGGCACTTAGCAGCAACAACAACCTTTTATTCCAGCTCCTGATTCAGAGCAGTGAGGCGAAAGTTATGGAAAGAATGAATGAAGTACTTCTAGCCAACATATGGTGGTGTTCACTGGATTTTCCTCTAACTCTAAATGACTAATCAAGGTTTGAAGTTAGTGCCTTATCAAGAAATGACTGACAGTCTTGATCTTTGCTGGCATCCCAAGAAGGGATACAAAGCTTTATGAGGTAATTAGGTAATTTTATAGGCTACCTCAGAGTAAACACCTGGCTGAGAGAACTTTAGATGTTCCATATAACCCTACAGCTTTTGTGTAGGTAAAAAAGGAAGCCATGGAAACAGAAAGGCCACCCAGACATAAGCTTCACTGTGTTCTCACTGTGAATTTAATAAAGCAATAAACAATGAGGAGTGCTGCAAGCTATAGTCCTCAGTGCATTTGAAAAGATCAATGTATGGAGTCTGAGCAACAGATACCTCACATCTTCCTCCCATTTGTCTTTGCAAGCACACCTCTTTGCATAGGAAACTCTATCACTGGCAGCTGAGTCCATGCACTATGGAATTAAACAATTCACTCTGTGGGCTCTAAATTCTCAGAGGCATCTATGAAGTGTTAGCTTTAAATCCAAATCAGTATTTTTGGAGTGATTCCTGCTCCAAAGACAAAGCATGTATATGAATTAAGTCCAAGGTCAAGAATTAAGGTTGTAGTGTGGCAAGGAAGGATAAACACTGGGCTACTAACTTCAAGGTCGGTGGTTCAAGTCCACCAGTCGGTCCTTGTTAACCCTATCCAGTGTTGCTATTAGTCGGAACCAAGTTGACATCACTTATCAATGACAATAACATTATGCCTTAAATGAGAACCAGAGCAGCCTTACACATTAAATGAGGCTAATCATGGAAATCCCCTGGTAGTGTAGTGGATTACAAGCTGGGCTGCTAACCACTAGGTCAGCAGTTCAAATCTATCAGCTGCTCCATGGGAGAAAGCTAAGGCTTTCTGCTCCTGTAAAGATTTACAGTCTCAGGAAACCTATACAGAGTTGCTATGAATCAGAATAGACTCCATGGAACCCAACCACCACCCAAGCACCTAGCCTCTGTAAACGTCCACAATCAATATTAGTATTTGTGTCATTATGATAAGTCCATCAGCTGCTACCCTAAAAGTTGGCAGTTCAAACCCACCCAGCAGTGTTTTGGAGGACAAGTCAGGTAAAGTGCTTCTGTAAAAGTTACAGACAAGAACACCCTATGACACTGTTCTAGTCTGTAATACATGGAGTCACTAGGAATGGGATCAACCAGATGGCAGCAGGTTTGATTTTCTTGGGTTTTGGGTGGTGAAAACTGTTAACATGCTTAACTGATAACTGAAAGGTTGGGGGTTCGAGTCCATCCAGAGGCACTGTGGAATAAAGGCTTGGTGATCTACTTCAAAAAAAAAATTAGCCATGAAAACTCTATGGAACACAGTTCTATTCTGACACATATGGGGCTGCCATGAGTCAATGTTGACTCACTGACAACTGGTATTATTACATGCCTGAAAATGAGTCCACATGTGATGCTCTAGGATCAGCACTAGACTGCTAACCACAAGGTTGGTGGTTCAAACCCACCAGCTGCTCCTTGGAGACCCTATACAGGGTGGTGATGAGTC